AGGGAAAGATAGATGGAGTATGTACTATTGTGCATGGAACGTACTAAGATAGGTAGCTGTAAATTTCTAATCATTTCATCTCCCAAAAAACCCAACTTCAAACAAGACAGTTTTCTTCATACATCTTCATATTATGGTAAGGGAACAGGAAAAAAAAAAAAAAGAGAGAGAGAACAGAAAAACACAATTCATGGTAATAGGACCTACTACAGCCTCAATTGATTGCGCTTCTTCACTCATGAAAATCTGATATATTTTTCAAAAGGAACTTTTTAGAAGGAGTTGAGGAAACATTCTGGCAGTACGCAAAAGAAAAAAAAAAAATAAGCAAATTGATCCCAACTTCATTGCTTGAACTGCTAGGAAACTGGTTAGAGCTAAGCAAGGAAAGCTTCTCCCCACCCCCCCACCCCCCAAGAGAAATACAGTTTGTTTATAGTAATTAGCAAAAAAATAAGATTCTTCTGTTCACTGTTCAAATAGTTCAATGAATCTTTAAAGAAGCAATCTTTAAGAGTCTTACCTCAGCTGTGGAAACAAAGGAGTCCGTTGATGCAATGCTTAAAGTATCTCGAAGGCAGAAATCATCCGTATTATCCTTCACAGTGATGTCGAAATTTTTATCTTTAAAATAAAATAAAATAATAAAACTATTAGACTATCAGAAAAATCCATTGAAGTCTTGAAAGTGAGTTTGATGTATACGTTAATATAGTACTTCATTTGGAACGCACAACATTGTACTACTATGAGAGTAAATTCTTATGAGTTGCTAATATATAAGGGTGATTATTTTTCTGTCTTTAAAGTGGACTTACAAACATCATTTGCAATGAAGAGAGAGAAGTAAAAAAATATTTCCCCGTGGGTTTTGCCTTTTCTTTGATAGACTTCTAACTCTATCTAAAGATATTACTTTGCTATATTGATCTAAATCATCTGTTAAGTTTTTAACTTGGCTGTATTATGTAACAAATGCTCAATGTTTTAGTAACCAAGAAATACTGTTCTAAATGAAAATCATTAATAAAAAACAGGTTTCAGCTTCACTTGAATTCGTTTAATTTTCTACTCTCATGCCTTTTTTCACTTGCTGGTTCCTCAGAAGAGCGAGTGAAGTTTTTTTAATCTTCTCTGTATCCTCTTTCCCCAACAAGCTTTTTCATTGAAATAACACATCCAGAAACATTTCCTATAGTACTAGAATTCTTAATGCCTTTAAAATAACTGGTATTTCATGCTTAAAATCATCTGCAATACAGTTTCTCTCAGTTTTCCTTTACTTTATTCTCAGATTTCAACTGTTCTACATATTACTAGCATACATGGGTTTTGTTTTCACCATACAGAAACACTTTCACAGAAGGATTAAATTCATAAGTCGGTAAGTCAGACTGTGGCTTGATGTGCCCCATACTACATTCTCAGTAGAGCAACAGCATTTATTTTGGGTTACTTTACCTTCAGACATTACACATGCGTTGCTAAAATCTGTTTTATTTCCAACAGCCAGCAGCAACCAGCTACCCAATGTCATCCAGATCTGTTGCTACAGCAATACTTCATGAAAAACACTATTACATAGCAAAGTGGCCAAACGCCAATATACCGGAATGGTTTACTCATCAATTGAAATGCTACAAATCCACATAACTTAACTATGATTTTGGTGGTTGTTATGGTTTTATTAGTTACGGACTTGGAACGACAGCTAAAAAATTGCACATAACAATAAATATCTGTCTTTGAGACTATTCACTGAGGGAAAAAATTATTAAAAGTTTGGACACAGATTTTACTAGCTTGTGTTAGGCAGATTCCAACTTGTAGTCACAACTTCACCAATACTCATATGAAAGTCTGATTTTTTTCAGATCATTCTTAGTAGTTTGTTCTTTTTTTCTGACCTTTTAAAACCAAGAGAGAAAAAGTACAGCAGCATCTCAGTTGGTTGAGAAACAATCACATACTGGAATTTGAAGAGCTGGAACAGAAAACCCAACTGTGGTTTGTAAAGCATTTGCTTGGGGTCTGGTAAAAGCAGACGGGTAACATGGTTAACATGATGTTTCCTTTTTATTCTAGCTCATAATTTGCATTAATCCCCCTCAAATATTACATTAAATGCTTCTCTAATACCACTTTTTCACATGAGCAGTTGCTGAAACTGCAATAATACCATCAAACATAGGGTAGAACAGGGATGTATAGCACTGTTGCAGATTTTTCCACTGAACCTCTCCTTTTGGCTGAGTTGTTTTCCACAATAAATTGCAATTAAAACAAAAGTTTCTACATCTCACAGTTAGAAAAGCCCTCTAGCACCTGGTTCAAGTGCAACCCAAAGAAATATTATTTTCCATGATCCTCCCAGCCTGTAGGCAACATGCAACACTTACTTCATGAGAAATAAACAGCTATATTCATAAGCTGCAATGCAAAGTATAAACTCCTACAAGAGTAAACTGTGGGCCATACTGGTAAAGATCTTACTGATGGCTTTAATGAAGATGTTAACATAAGGACCCAACCCTTATGTACACAAAGTGCAGCTGTCAAGTAGTCTCATATATCAACTTATTCATAAACCACGAACATCTCCACCACCCTCATAGGGAAGTCCCAACTACACCATGAACTGAAGCCTCAAAAGCTTTGGATATTGTCTTATAAGTACTGTGCTGCTGCTGCTATATCGAGTCATAGAATTGTTGAGGTTGGAAGGGACCTTTAAGATCATCAAGTCCAACCATTAACCCAACCTGACAAAACCACCTCTAAACCATGTCCCCAGGTACCACATCTACCCTTTTTTTTAAACACTTCCAGGAAAGGCAAATCCACCACCTCCCTGGGGAGCCTATTCCAATGTTTGATAACCCTTTCAGTGAAAAATCTTTTCCTAATATCCGCTCTAAAGTTCACCTGGCATAACTTGAACTCATTTCCTTTCATCCTTTCGATTGTCATCAGGGAGAAGAGGTCAGCCCTCACCTCTCTACAACCTCCTTTCAGGTAGTTGTAGAGAGTGATAAGGTCTCCCCTCAGCCTCCTCTTCTCCAGGCTAAATGTGAGTTTATAGCTCAATGACAACACCGCATCCCCAGACTGACACTGAAGTATTTAACACTGGGCTATGTGATTGATTACATACAACTGGGGATAATGCTATTTAACTAAAATTTATTCTGCATATATGTAAAAAAAATAATCGGTGTAAGTGAAGGAACCCCAGAGTTTCCAGCCCAAAATACCACAGGTTCTTCTGCAGAGTTTGCATCCAGCCTGCTACAGATTACAGGAAGCTCTAGAGATAATAAGATTTTGAATACATCTCTATTTGCTGAAGAAGTCATAATTCCAAGTTTTCTAACATGGGCCTAAAACTGTCACCCAGACAGTGTTTTTCACATAATAGTTAAATATGGAATCTCTGTGTTTTCACTCAAAGAAAATTATCACTGTTGCAAAAAAAGGCACAAAATTTGCGTGTTATGGCAAACAAAAGAAAATTGATTAAAAAAGTTGGCTATGTGATAGTGCATAAGTTGGCAAAGGATAAAAGTTGGCGAGTGATATGTGCGTAAAAAAGCACAGCCTCCCCAAGGAAAACAGAACAGCCTTGTCAGCTATTTCTGACTTTCTGGCCACCACCACCCTAAAACCCTGAAATACCCTTAGCCAAGCAGGTGCTTATCAATACCCACACTGTGCAGAGAGCACACTGTTATGAAAATGTTAGGGTGAAAATTAAGTTACAGCTGGAGTACATACCATGCAAGTACCAGGAGAACATTCTTAGACACAAGAACACGAAGAAAAAGAGACAGCAGCACAATGAGACTCCTGGAATGAACAGCTGCAAGAGGAACCCACCCACCAGCGGCTGCAAGTGCTCACACACTCATCCCTAGCTCTTATGCACTCTAATACCTTCAGGAAAGGAATACTAGCGAGTATGTGAGCTTCAAATATACTTTACTTATTTGAGAAGCCAGGGGGTTATTTTGGGTTCATTTATATTTGTAAAGAAGACAAAGTAGAGTTTCAGACATGATACTGACAACAGTAATTGCCATAGGACTCTTGGTTGTAGAGCCTTAAAATGCATACACGCTTCTAAAGTTAGATTAAGGGTATTAAAAAATGCCAACAATATGGAGTATTGCTAAAGCTTGTGAAATTAATTCTAGCTTTATAAGACTTTGCAAACAACTACCTATTTGAAATGAAGCAGGCTAAAAAGACCCAAACAAACCAGAACAAAACTACTTTCACATCTATTCAGAGAGTGCTAATCTAGTACTTACTTGTCTGTGCTCTGGTAGGTTCATGTGGTAAGACAGACCACAAAACCAAGCCTCTAATCTCTCATAGCAAAATCCGACCTTACAGACGGAACTGCACACAAATTAACTTTTTTAGTATTCAATTGTGAAGTATCCACCATCAGATAATGTTTTAAAATTCTGTGTACTTTTTATACGTTATCTTCCCTCCAACTCTGAATGAAACATGGCATGAGTTTGCAAATGAGTTTGGCACTTATGTGCAGCAGTTAAAAAAGGAAAGCACTTATCCACTGGCAAAGAGCTCACTGGGAGTTAAGGAATTTAGTTCTGAGTGCCACTGTTAAAGCCATGGTTTCCCATTCTCCCCAGCCCTCCCACTTCAGTGGAACATCAGTGCAGTCATACATCATGAGCAGCAAAGCAGGATGAGAAAGGAGAGACCTGGTAGACTCCAAAGAGGAAAAAAATCTTGAAGGAATGCCTTTACGAAAAGTCAGGGTACCCTGAGAGCAGCAGGGGCCCAGTATTCTGCCAGGCTACCACACAGCCAGCCACTGTGTCGTGCGCTTGTCACGTCCCTTAGATGTGTGGCTTCATGCCTGGACAAAGGAATTACAATAATCAAGTTCAGAGAGCCCAGAAGCATGAATTACTACATAATTCAGTTTCAAAAGAATGTGTCACAGTCTTCTAGCTAGTCACAAGTGGCACAGTGGTTTGTCACCACTGTTGCTGAAGCATCCAAAAGCAGCTTTATTTACGTTTATAAATAGTCATAACTCAGAGTGTTGACTGAATATTCATTAGAGAAAATCATCAGTCCTACCAAGTAGCTACTAATGTATTACATAAAGTCTTGCAGGAGGCACCTAGAAAGCAGTGAATTTTACTTTATGTTGTATTTATAAAAAGACGACAATCCCAACCTTCAGATGGCACCTTCTGATGACTGGGTCACATAGGTTAAAAGGTCACAACAGGTTAAAAGAGACAAGCCAAGAATGGAGCAGGGTGCCCACGCACACCATTCTGGATTTAACACTTACTGCTGAACTATGTGTTTACATTCACCAGTAATACAAATATCTGGGTTCGAGAAAGTGCCTGTAGCTGGAGGCATCTGACCTCACTGTATATAAAAAAAAGCTGTTATTGACTTCAGCATAAAAATATATTCCAGGTCAGGGTCTTTTAAAAAGATCTAACCAAGTCTTGTATGCTACCAGTATGTCAGCACATACTGCGAGTTAAACATGTCTCATGGTTCTCCATTGGGACTGCTCTGATGCAAACTGAAGTGACAGATTCCTTTAAAAAAAAAAAAACCCAAAA